TGAAAATATAAAAAGCCATTCATATTCACTCTAAAAAGAAAAATCATAAGGAAAAATGGCAAAGGAACTAAACAGGGTAATTAGAGAAGAAAAAAAAAACCCTATAAGCATGAAAAGCTGGTCAGTCTCACTAGTAATCAGGGAAATGCAAATAAATACCCCAGTGAGATGGCACATTTTGTGCATTACGTGAAAATATTATTATACAAAGTGTTGAGAAGGACGCGGGAATGAGGACTATAACAGAAAGCTGATAGCTGGGTCAACCTGGATAAGCACTCCTGAGCGCAACGTGGCAGAATCAAAGTTTAAAATATGCATCACCATAAAAAAATAATAATAATAAATAAAATAAAATATGCATCCCAATGGGCCAGGCGCAGTGGCTCACACCTGTAATTCCAGCACTTTGGGAGGCTGAGGCGGGCGGATCACAAAGTCAGGAGATTGAGACCATCATGGCCAACATGGTGAAATCCCGTCTCTATTAAAAATACAAAAATTAGCCAGGCGTGGTGGCAGGCACCTGTAGTCCCAGCTACTTGGGAGGCTGAGGCAGGAGAATGGGGTGAACCCAGGAGGTGGAGCTTGCAGTGAGCCGAGACTGGGCCATAAATATGCTCAGGGAGACACATAGGATGTTCATTTTAATACTGTTCATAAGATTAAAAACTACAAAAAACATCATCTCCATCAATAAGAGAGTGGCTAGATAAAAACAGATCTGTCCCTACCGTGAAATAATGTCCAGTAATAAAGAAAAACTACATACACCATCGGGAAAGCGCTACAAGACAGGCTGAGCAACTCGCCCAAGCAGATGCGCGTGCGCCATGCCGCCCATGTGTTTCAAAAGCACACAGAGCACCAGAGAGATTCCATTCTGCCCCAACGCTTGCTTTAAAAACAACTTGTAACAGCACAAACAATAAATTAGAAAACAAACTGAACATAATACGAACTTCACATTTGCTTATTTGCAATTTGATCCATGAGAAACGGCAGAAGAACACAGGCCACTACGGCCAGCAGCACCCACACACAGGCACACCTGCGTTTCAGATAGCCAGGCCTCTGCCACTTCCCATCACACACAGGCTGCAGCCCCAACAGCCCACTTCCACAAGCAAACGCCAGGGCTTTTCCAAGGCCAATGTGATATTTATGGCAGTGCTTATGTATTTCTTAACGCTTTAACGTGTTAAATTGTACAACTTTCGTTAGATTCCTGTCTTTCTGTTGTTTTAATGTTACTGACAAACATTTTGACTGTGGTGCCCCTCACCCTACCTCCCACCAAAAGCCCTATCATTTCTATCATGTGATTTACTACACAAGTGATTTTTAAGCAGCACATGCTGTGTTACAGAACGGACCATATTTCAATAGCTATATATACAACTAACTTGTTTTATTAAGCTGTTAGCACCAAAGTGAGTTTGCAAAGTAATCATGGCAAAGCAGCAGAATCTGCAATGAAGACTCCCCCAAGACTCAGGAGGCCTTGTCCTGCTTTGCCATCCACGTGCTAATAAACTTGGACGAGTGATTCCACCTTGCTGAGGAATAAACTTGGACAATTCTCCACTAACCAAAGAACTCATGCTGTTCAGTGAGCTAACCAGCTGTCAAGGCACTGTGTAAAACGTATATGGTATTCAAATGAAGTGCAGTCGCGTTCCTGTTAGGATAATATGGTAATCACGAGGGGAAAAATGAAACAGCATAACTGCATGCCCATGCTTTTTAAATCCAAGTCTCAGAACCGAACACCGATCCTTACTTCGTGGTAAGTGTCCTCAAGCTCCCCATCATATATCCAGCGGTACAGGAAGCTCAAAACAGGATGAGACACGAGGCTGAGGATGTGCTGCACCAGAGATCGCATGTACGGGTCTCCTGTTTTTGTGTAGGCGTGGACAGCTGAGGCCAGCTCACCTCCTTTCCTTCCTGGGAGAAATGGGGGAAAATACAAAAAAAATCCACATTTACACTCATAGTACACACCAGTCACTTCACACTAACCAAAGACACCCAAGTAACTGAGATAAAGAGCATTTGTTTTCTTACAGTGAATACCATTTTGGGCCCAGAAGCAGCAGTAACATGCCATGATTCAGAAACCAGGAGGTCCAGACTCCAACCCTGGCTTTACACAAGTCTGTGAGTCACTCCTCTCTTTAGCTGCTGAGGAATTTTTCAGAAACAAAAAGTAGCAAAAAAATTGCTGGCTACACAATCTAAAGTTCACATGACTTTTCATGCCTTTTTTCCTTGAGGCATACTAAGACTCACGCGTCACGGTGCAATGGAGGGCACAAATGTATGTGAAAAACAAAAGTTCTATGAACCAATACTTGCACTTTTTTTTGGTATGATATGCTAGACCCAACCTATCACGGATTTTATAACCCATTAACTGGCTACAACACACAGCGTGAGAAACACTGCTCTGCGTGGAGACAAGAGGCCCCCGGGCCTGGGCCAGAGCTACTCAGTATGAAGGACTGGGAGTGGCAAAAATCCGGTCTGGAAATAGCAGCATATGAAGAATTCTTATGTTATGCTAAGAATTCAAGATTTTATTAGACCACTGGTAGATTTTAAGGAGAGGAGTGACGGGGTCTGATTTTAAGAAGATGGCTCTGGTGTGTGTACACAAAGTGGGGGTGTGAGATTGAATATGGGGATCGGACAGCAGCTCTTATAACAGCCCCTACAGCGCCAAGGCCAAGCGCACAGGCTGAGCAGAGTGAGGGGAGTGAAGGACCCCAGGGGCCCGCGGGACACGGAAAGTGACAGGGGAGTTTGGGGGGAATCCAGTTCCGGAGGAGCCCTGGGAACTGGAGAAAACACTGGTGTTTATTTACTGTTCTCCACTTCTCTCTTTTTTGAGGGAAGTGCCAAGAGGTGAGAGAGGAGGGTGTGCAGACAGCAAGACGATCAAGGGGGCCCTGCAGATTCTGGGGACCACCCCGAGCAGAGGATGGCAGTGAGAAGGGAACTCTTGTGCAGCAGATGGCCGGCTCGCCCATCTCATGTCGTCGTAACAACCCTAAGAGGTAACTGCTACTAGGATCTCAATGATACAAATGAGGGAAAAGGCAAAGAGGTTCTTGGCTACAGTAGTACAAACAATGAGAAAAAATGTCAGAAAGCAACTAGCAATACAGAACCTAGAGACAGAGAGGCCAAAGCAAGACATGCAAATATGGGAACATCTGACGGAGAGTCACCAACATGGTCCCCGACCGCAGAAGGAATAAAGGCAAAAAGCAAAATGCAAGGAAAGGCAACCAAGGGAGCGACACGCGCTGTCAGGAACGGTAACCGAGGACCACGCAAGAGAGAAATCTTTAAACACAAGACACCCTCCCCCCTTCCCACCTCCATCTCAATGCCAGCCCGAGCTTCTACCGTGTAAATACTGTGTCACACTGGCAACTGGTTACGTTCCCTCTCGGTTCATATCTGTCGATTCCTATTGAATCAACATGGCCGTGAAGGATAAAAAAGGTCAGGACACAAAAGCAAGCCTGGATGGCGCACCCTACAACGAGTTCTAAAACAAAGCGAGCGCCAGACACGCACAGGAGAGACGCGCACAGGACAAGTTCTAAAACAAAGCGAGCGCCAGACGCGCACAGGAGAGACGCGCACGGGACCTTGGCAGTGGTCCACCAGGGCCGCAAGGGTCTTCAGTCGTATTTTGGGATCATAGGTCCAAACCAAGAGGCGCCGAAGTGTTAAACTACTCTCAAGTCCCAAATTCACACCCTGGTCATCCTCTAGTTGTAGCTAAAAAACAACAAAGATAGAAATGTTTAAGTACAAATAACTACATAGGTCACACTTCTTAATCTATATCAAGTAAATATAAGAAAATGATTTTCCTCATAAAAATGAAGCCAAAGTCCCCTTTAAAAAAAACAATAGTATTTTTAAGCTACAAGTGACCTTTAACTGGTGGAACTCTGAAAATTAGCAATTAACTGGCTCTGGGATACATTGAAACTTGATATTCAAATCTTACAAATAATATTATGAAAAATATTGCTGTCTTTTAAAAGTAATGTATGAAGTAACTTAAAACATTCTATATAGCTTCAATTTCATAACGCTTAGAATCATGAAGAAATAAAAATAAAATATTTACCTGAGAATGTAAAACAGAGAGCAATCGATAGTATTCTCTGAGTTCCTGGTGCAAGGCGGCACAAAAGCTCTGTGTGGAAGAGAAATATAATTAAAGCACAACACACTCATTATACATGGACTGATTTTAAGTGGAAAGGTATAATGCTTTTAGATAAAGTTCAGGTGGGGTGCTACAAGATTTAAATTCAGGTTTTGTCAATAATTTAATCATCTTAATCACCACAATATACATTTTAATAACATGAAAAAAGTGTTGTTCCTTAGTACAAAAAGCATGAACTTTGCAGAAGAGGAATGGAAAAAAAATATATGGTATAGTTTTCATGAAGTGCAGTCACTTTAGAGAATGATCCTTTAAGATTATATCCCCTGTAAATATTCAGGGTTAGAACGTAATTTTCTTTCATGCTCTTAATTAACAAAATTTAAAAATTAGCAGCTCAGTGCCAATCCCCCTGATTTTCGTTCTGTTTGCACTGCTTGCTCTTCTGACCTCTATTAGTAGTAAGAACTTTTCCACACATCTCCAATCTTAAATGCTGAAAGAAGTCAGGTCAAAACAACCGGAATCAGAAGCTGGAAGAGGCACCTTATACACCTGCATCCGGTCCTGTGGCAAGAGCCTTCAGGGACGAACTGTGGGATGTAACTCCAGGGTGCCTGGGGGCAGCGCTGCCTACAGCAGAAGCCGCCTGCAAGGGATAAGCCTGTGTTCTTTCTCATTCAGTTTTATTCAGCAAAAAGCCATCAAAAATTTTTTTAATGTTTTTTAAACTTGTTTTCTTTAAGTAAATAAGTAGGTTGCATAACTTTCTGTATATTTTTAAAATATATCAGCCGTCTTCTATAGGTGTATTTTACTGCATTTATGGTTTGTGGACTAAGACAAATGTGAACATTTTCAAGTTCAAAAATGAACATAAAACATACTAATTTTGTAGACACAAAAGAACACGTCAAAAGTGAGGTGTGCAAGAAGAAACGTCCTAGAGTCTGGAATGAGACAGACCACGGGGCAAAATCCAGGGCTCCCGCTGGAGGCACCACCAGCGTCAGCCCCCAACGGTATGAACCTCTCGGTTCATCTACACAGGGAAGAATAAATGCAGTAACCTAGGGCAAGCGCCTGGCACAGGGTGACCACAAAGGTGCTTATTAAACCATAGGTCAATTTTCTTCGGTAATATTTACAGAGAAAATGACATGGAATCTGCTCAGGCACAGCATCACTCTTTACCAAAACTCCATCCCAGCCCCCAGGGCAGGAGGGCAGAAACACAAACACATCGAAGCTTTTAAAAACCTGCTGAATATGCCGCCAGGCGCGGTGGCTCACACCTGTAATCCCAGCACTTTGGGAGGCCGAGGCAGGCGGATCATGAGGTCAGAAGATCAAGACCATCCTGGCTAACATGGTCAACACCCCCCATCTCTACTAAAAATACAAAAAATTAGCCCGACAGTGGCAGGCGCCTGTAGTCCCACCTACTCGGGAGGCTGAGGCAGGAGAATGGGGCGAAAAACCCTGGGAGACGGGACTTGCAGTGAGCAGAGATGGCGCCACTGCACTCCAGCGCCTGGCGGACAGAGCAAACTCCCGTCACCAAAAAAAAAAAAAAAACAAAAAAAAAACAAAAAAAAACCTGCAGAAATAATCAAATCATAATCCATCGTGTAAGAATGGAAGTATTTATACACAGGAGTATGTGAGTCAGCTTCTGAGAGGTCTACAACCAAAGAGTGCAAGAGCAGGCAGAGTGTGGCAGCGCCGCACTCACTCAAACGGAAAGGCCTATGGTTAGCAGAGGCTGTTTCCACCTTGGTTCATTAAATGCATATGTAAGTTTCACGCTTACAAAACAGTATCTTCATTCATATATGATTTTGCTCCACTTGGTATGTCTAGAGCCAGGACACCTCCAAGGCTAATTGGGGGCACTGGTAATACTGACACAGGACACAAATTATGCAAGGCATAAATTAGGGCACACAGTCACCCCACTGAGTGCACACGCTGGCACTTCAAATAAGATAAATAAACCATCACTCCTTCAGCAACTGGATAGCACAGAGCAATGACTTCAAAAAGGAGGAAATGGAAATAGAACATAGACAGCTTTGGAACAGAAGTGACACATCACACCCTGGCCCGTATCTGCCATCTACTAGTCAGGGCAACTTGGTCAAATCAATTAAACTTGCTAAGGTTCAATTTTCACATCTGCACAATGGGGACAATTAATGCTTGCCCTGATCATTTTAGAGGGCTGCTATGATAATCAATAAGGAGATAAAAGAAGAGGCTCTAAAGTCCAGTACTATAAACAGCAGTACCCAACCTTTTTGGCACCAGGGACTGGTTGTGTGGAAGACAATTTTTCCACGGACCAGTGTGGGATGGGGGGGCAGGGTGGTTCTGGGATAAAACTGTTCCCACTTCAGATAATTAGACAGACATTAGATTCTCATAAGAAGCACGCAACCTAGATCCCTCGAATGCACGGTTCACAACAGGGTTCACGTTCCTATGAAACTAACGCCGTCACTGATCTGACAGGAGGCAGAGCTCGGGCGATCACGCCTGCTCACCCTCCACTCACCTCCTGCTGTGTGGCTCAGTTCCTAACAGGCCACGAACCAGTACCGGTCCACAGCTCAGGAGCTGAGACCCCTGCTCTAACACATAATATGATACTACTATAGTGATGATCAATCCACCTCCTGGAATAAAGTATCTACATAACAGTTTATTTCGTTATCTTGTATTGATTTTGTGTGTGTGTCTTGCTTCATGTCTACCAAGTTAACTAGGACTTATCAAGTGACACTTGCATAAGATGATGATATAAACCGAGATACGATCAAACACTCCCTTCGAGAAAGGGGACAGGGACTGTAAAATCACAGCTGGCTGCTAAGGGGATGGCCCATCAGTCCCACCTGCCTCAAGAAAGAGCCAGCTCACTTCTCTCTGCCTTTGCAATGAAGGAGAATGGTGGCTGGTCATCGAGCAACTCACTAGACTGGCAAACAGAATAGAAAACAGTCCTAGCCTGGGAAGCAGCATCTTTATACGCATTCTCTCCCCATCTTCACAATCTGGAGGTAATCACTACTCCACTCTACGCAGGACGAAACTTGTGGCCAACAGAAGATAACCTGTGCAAGATGACGTGACCATTAAAGGAGAAGCCCAAACTGGAACCCTGGGCTGCCTTGCTTCAAAGCTCAAAGTGTGACTCCTACTCAGCAGCCATGCTGCCACAGCACACTCCTATCCACTAGGCACGCTCCTCCCTGCCAACCACGCTCCTCCCTACCAGCCACACTGCCACACCACAGGCCTACTCACCCACCACGTTCTCATCCACCAGCCACGCTCCTCCCCGCCAGCCACGCTCCTCCCCGCCAGCCACGCTCCTCCCTGCCAACCACGCTCCTCCCCACCAGCCACACTGCCACACCACAGGCCTACTCACCCACCACGTTCTCACCCACCAGCC